GTCTTAACACTAAAGCTTCTGCTAGTTGTGTAGGGAGATTTTGCTCCAAAAATGTCATTAGATTCATCAAACCTTGTGTAATTAAAAAATCAAAGAAAAACGTGCGCGGTCAAAACCCATATAATTTAATTTGCGTAGACACATTGTGTAACTAGCAGAAAATTAAACCTTGCTCTACTCAATGTAAGGTCATTTAATAACAAAACCCTGCTGATTCGAGATCTTATTAAAGAGCTTAAGCTAGATTTTATGTTTCTGTCACAAACGTGGCTTAGTGGTAATGGCACAGCAACTCTACTTGAAGCTGCTCCTGAAAACTACAGATTTATGCATACAGTAAGACAGGGCAGATGCATAGACTGGTTAATTAACCCTAACTTGTCTGCTAGTGGGTTTCATGATGACTTATCTTCTAAAGTCTGTGAAGAGTTCGCAATTCATTTCCAAAATAAAACAGACCTGATACGACAGGGTGTAGCTCAGCCAGCTGAAACAAGCTCCTGTAATGTTCCTGATAGGTCACCTACATCAGTAATGACATCTTTCTCTGTTATCAACTATCAGGAGCTCACAACTATTTTAAACAAACTAAGTTCCTCCACATGTGATCTTGACCCTGTTCCTACTTCATTCCTTAAGATGGTTTTTGATTGTGTGCACAATGATGTTTTAACTATTGTAAATTCTTCTCTGTTAACAGGTGTTTTTCCAGATGCTTTTAAAACTGCCCTGGTGAAGCCTCTGCTAAAAAAGAGAAGCATGGATCCTTCTATACTAAATAATTTTAGACCAATTTCAAACCTACCTTTTCTAAATAAAGTCTTAGAAAAAGTTGTTTTCAAACAACTAAATACGTATCTAATATCAAAGAATTTATATGAGAAGTTTCAGTCAGGTTTTCGTTCTAACCATAGTACAGAGACAGTATTGATTTGCGTTATGAATGACATCAGGCTCAGCGCTCATGAACGAAATCCTTCTGTTTTGGTTTTATTAGATCTTAGTGCAGCCTTTGATACCGTTGACCACAAGATTTTAATCCTGTGGCTTCAATGCTGGGTCGGCTTCTCTGGCACAGTTTTAGAATGGTTTAAATCACATTTAAGTAATAGACAGTTCATGGTTTCAGTATCAGTATTCAGTATCATTCATCAAAACGATTTGCCGTTTCTTGGGGAATCCCCCAAGGTTCAGTCTTAGGGCCTTTACTTTTCTCTTTGTACATGTTACCTCTAGGTGATGTCATTAAAAAGCATAATAGAAATTTTCATAGCTATGCTGACGACACCCAGTTATACATTACTATTCCTTCTGAAGATCAAGACTCTGTAGACAGACTGACCAGCTGTGTGTCAGATATTTCTCAGTGGATGTCACAAAATTTTCTACAATTAAATCATGAAAAAAACTGACATATTGATCATTGGTACAGAAACTCAGAGAAAAATGATTTATGAGAAATTTGGTTCTTTAGCTTCTTCTACCAAACCTGAAGTACGAAACCTGGGTGTGATCTTAGACTCTGAGCTCTGTTTTACCCCACATGTAAACACAGTCACTAAAGTAGCTTTTTTATCATTTGAGAAATATCACTAAAGTTCGGCCTTTTCTATCTCAGAGCGATGCAGAGAAACTATACATCCCTTACAACTTGTACAAAATGCAGCAGCATCCTAACAAAAACAAAAAAGACAGATCACATCACTCCCAGTTTGAAAGAACTGCACTGGCTGCCTGTATCATTCAGGATAGATTTTAAGGTTCTGCTACTAGTCTTTAAAGCTCAAAACAACCTTAAAGCACCTGCTTACATCACAGAGTGTCTGTCTGTTTATGTTCCTGCACGTAATCTAAGATCTGCAGAGAGTGGCCTTCTACAGATACCCTCTGTAAAATACAGAAAACATGGAGAGACTCTTTCAGTTATTCTGCTTCTAAACTATGGAACTCAATTCACCTTTTATTAGACAGTCAAGCTCAGAGCTCACTTTTAAGAAGCATCTAAAAACGTATCTCTTTAAATTAGCATTTAATTAAAACTCTACATCTCATGGTTTTTATCTTTTAATTTTTATTCTTTTTCATTTTCTTCTGAATTTTCTTCTAAATAAATACTAATGATTTCTTGTATAACTGTTTTATCACCTGTCTGTAAAGCACTTTGAGCTGCCACTGGCATGAAAAGTGCTATATAAATAAATATTATTATATTATTATTATTATAATAGAGGAGGAAGTGAAACCAGCACCACCCCACCACCCCCCACCCAGCTGACCACAAACAAGCAGTTTAACCAGTAAAACAGACAGAGAGAGAGAGAGAGAGAGAGAGAGAGAGAGAGAGAGAGAGAGAGAGAGAGAGACAGTGGGGTGAAACTCAGATTTGCATTAACAGGCCTGAGTCGTCCACTTTCTCCCAGAATAGAGCAGCACTTTCAGCAGATGTTCAGCTTCGTTCAGCCAAACTCACTCAAGCACAACACACAGCACTGCACTGAATCTACAGCTACAGATTCTCTCTCACAACACTGACCATTAAACAGAGTAAAAGAACAGACGATGTTCAAGATTCAGCTTTATTTCAGCTCAGCAGAACCGCAGGAACAGCAACAGGACAGAGAACAGAGTAAAGACAGGAACATCAGCACTGTGTAGAGTTTAAACTCTACTGTAGATGATGTGGAAGCAGCTCTATGTTCAGCTCTATCTTGGAGCTGCTAATTTTCACTAATTTTCTTTATGAACGTGATTGGCTGATTGACGTTGTCATGGGAGACCGTGCAGCCAAACTCCTCCCCCTTTTCCCAAAGTGCTTTGCTGAGGGTCAGGGTGCTGCTGCGGCTGTAGCGGCCATTCTATTTTATATATCCGGCCTTGGCCTGTGGCCAGTAAGAGTTACCGAGCTACCGCAGTAACAGCCCATAATGACGGTAAAACACGTTCTTTTATTGGTTTATTTGGTATTCCGACACGTCAACATGACCGAGCTGCGGTAGTTAAACGCGCTTGCTGCATGTATGTTTAAAAAAACGGCTGCGTTACTGTGACCGTTTTAGGACCACCTCAGACCACCACGGCCATGTCACAGCTTTCACACAATCAGGCTACACACACCACCTCAGATGGTAAAGTTCGTGTGACATTCGTAGTTGCGTTCTGTGTTGTTGGATTAATTACACTTTCATGGTCTTATTAAAGATGACAAACACAACAAACCCAGTTTGTACTGAACGCCATTCTTTTCTTGGTCTTTTTTCTATTCTTTTATTTTTGCCAAAAGGTTCAACTCACGCTATCACTGTGCTTGTCTGCGTCTACTTCAGAGTCAGAGACGAAACAAGTGAAGCTATTATTATTATTATTACTAGTAGTAGCAGCTTTAGTATCTCTGTAAACAGCTCTGCTGAGGCTTCTGAACATATCAGCAGATGTACATACAAAGACAATAATAATAATAATGCTAGTAATGATAGCAGAAACACTTTCTTTCCGTAATTTTGAGACGGACCCTGAGTCTGAAGCAGCCGCGGGAGCAGCAGCGTGGGAGCTGAAGCGTCGTCTAATAAAAGATTAAGCAAAGGGAAATCGGTTCTGTTTCTGAGGGGTATTTTACACACTTTTAACCAAATACGAGCACTGTGTTACCGGTTTATGTTATTTCAGCAGTTTCAAGAAAAAAAATAATTAAAAGTAACGTTAACCTTCCATTTCTTTAAGTAAAAATAGTAAAATCCGACACTACAAAAAAGCAGATAAAAAATAAGATGGTTAAACTAACGTTACTGCTTACACTGGCTAATACAGCTTAGCTAGCTAACGTTAGCTGGCTAGCTCCACACCACAATATAGGGTAACTTTAGATTCCAGCTAATGGATGATTCTTACATTAGTCACTCAGATCCACTTCTCTGTTTTCTTTAGACTTGTTTTTCTCCTAAAACAGGCAGAAATATTAAAGCTGCTCTTAGAACATTTTCACATTTTCCAGTGAAGCTAACAGCTGCCTCTCACGGTACAGCTAAGCTAGCTAGTTACACAGCCGGGCGAGGGAGATAATGTAAGATTAAGAGTGTGTCGTTATTAAACATAATTAAAGAGAAATCTCGAATGTTAATTTAGGTTGGAATTAGACATTTTGACGCACTACCTCATAGCCAGCACTGACGTCGTCCCCTCTAGCGACGCCACCACTCAGCTTATTTGCTTGTCAAACTGAATAACATATTAAAAGTTAAACGATAAAATCCAAGATACCTGATCGTAATTATAATGAATGTGCAATTATTTAAAATACAAAACACACCTTACCTCAAAAGCAGCAGCAAGTTTAACAGTCAAAGTCAACTGACAACTGCAGAGGACTGAGGGGGAAAAAGGGGAGGGGCAAATTTTAAATGAGGCGCAATTTTTAAATGAGGTGCATCTGTTTTAAAGATCCAGCCCCAATGCGCTCCGAGCCCGCTTACCGGCAGTGTGTCTAGTGCTGTTAACAGTTACTTGGCCCAAAAGTGACACAAGTCCGCAATGCAGATGCGACTGCTAGGAGGACTTTGTGACGGCCAAGGTAATCCGGCCTGAACATGCTTGCTGTCTGGGACATCACGTTAGTTCAGCACCAGCATGAAGATCCAACCTGCCTCATTATAGCATTGACTGACTGTAGATACAGAGGAGACTGTGGCCTGAATACTGTGATTATATACATTAACAAGGAAAATATAACAGCATTAATGTATAAATATAATTTATTTACGTTAGAATTAAGCTGAATAAACCTGTGTTGAAAAGATTCATTTACAGATACTTTAATCCCTCATTGATCTCCATCATGATCATTAATGAACCTCTGTAGATCATTAGATGTGTCTGGAAATGTTCTCCTATATTAACAGCAAGAAGTTATCTGAACTTCACAGCCTTAAAGACTCTCTAAAGCATTTCTGAGTCTAATGATGGAGAAAAAAATCTACCATCAGTCAATAAAACATACAGTATTGTTGATTGAAACTCTTTATTTTCTTTAGTCAAATAATCAGATCATCATTTCAGCATTAATCACAGACGTGTTTGAGCTCATTTGAGAGTGAGAGGAGCTCTATCAGCTGAAACCCCCGCGTGGTTCTCACTGCTCAGCACTGATCTCTCCTCAGTGTCTGGCTGACAGGAGGCTGGGAGTCCTTGGTGGCCTCACAGGTCACTGTGCTCTTTAGCCACTGCTCCTCCTGGAGGGTCAGGGTGCTGCTCCAGCTGTAGAGGCCGTTGTCCTTCTGCAGAAGCCCGGGGCTCTGGCTAACCCCCGAGCTCCAGCTGCTCCCACCCACCTTCCAGCTCAGTCTCCAGTCTGAGGGGAAGCCCTTGTTGGCCAAACACACAAGTGTGACCTTCCCCTGCTGCAGCTCCACACTGGAGGGGGGCAGGACTGTGAGGGTGGGCAAGGCCAAACCTAGGAGACACAAATACAGGAAGGGACACGTGTCAATCAACCAGCACAGACACACCAGAGTGGGTTTCACTTCTCTTATTTTGTACAGAGCTGAACTGAGTTCAGTGGAGCATTAAAATGTTTCACTCTCTAATTATAACATACTGCATAGTTTAAACTGTCTCTCAGACTAATCTGCAAGTACTTAACTCAAAAAGAGTCTGAATTTATGAAATATTTAATTTTAAGAGAAACATTTTATTCACTTCATTTATAAAATGACATAACTGAATGCATTTAATAATTTATAATATTAAATATAAATGAAATATGAAAAAAATGAAAAAAAAAAACATTATACATGAATCAGAGAAACACAGTCTATATGTAGATTTTAAAATGTCTGAGAATTTACAGTAAATGACATGGTGATTGCTCAACATGAGAATGAGAACAGTGGAGCAATAAAGACAAATCTTTTACTTTAAAAAACAAACTCAGTAATTTTACAAACACCTTAAGAGAAAGTTGCAGAATATTTTTGCTTTTACGAACAACTTTTCAGAAAGACAGTTGATGAAAAATCTTCATTCTAAACTGCAACAGTTAAAACAATAAAGTACTAAATAAATAAAACTACATAATTTTCAAAAACCATAAAGTACATTAATAGTCTTTTCCAGAATTTATTACCAGATTAATTATGAATAAGAAATAAAAAGCTACTTACGGCCAACTGACAGTTTCGTTCCTCCACCAAAAGTCCACCACAGTGATACAAACTCATTTAGCACCTGTACAAAAACCTCCTGCTCTAAAGACTCTGCTCTCTCTGTGCTTCACTAACAGCTTTTTCATATCAGTCATTAAATACTGATGAGTTTTATAATCAGCAGAAAAATGTATAAATTCTGAAACCCTAAACTTTCATTATTTTTACTTTTTTAAACTTCTTTGCTCTGAACTGTAGTTAAACATTGTTATACCTGTTCTTAAACCGCTTATTTATTCATTAATCTGTGATTTCATTGTAAAATACTAACAATTTTTATTGTTCAGCTTGACTTTAATTTGATCGTGAAAATGAAATGAAATTAAATAAAAACAAATTGTTAAGAATAGAAAATGGTTAAAGAGCTGCTCTACTTTAAAAAAATCTTATTGCTTCTATTGAGTAACGAAAACATTAACATGAAGAAAATAAACATAAATTGATTTCCTGCTAAAAGAGAGAAAAGTATTGTAATAAAATGTGTATTTTTTACTCCCTGCATGCAGTTTAGTTCCTCCACCAAAACCTCCCACACTGAGAGACAGACTGACAGCAGTAGCTGCAAAATCCCTCAAGAGAAAGACTGATACACTTTAAACTGAACACTATGAGATCGCCCCCCACTGGACATTAAGAGAATATCACACTGATCTGGAAAGGCAGATTGCTGAGCTGTGGGAAGATCAACTGTGGAGATCAGGAGAGTAAAGATTCACATATGAATCACAGTAAAAATCTCAAACTGACAGTAAACCTCTACAATATACACAATAAAACAGTCTTAAACAGTTTACAGTGTGTTCAGTTCAACACATTTCAGCAACAACAGAAGCTGATAAACAACACATATAAACATTTTCATGCTTCTGTCTGATATTCAGCAGCTCTAAACTGAACCATGAAGAACTCCTTCTGTTTCCATGCTGTTATACTCAATGTCACATGATCACTGCAGCCAATAGAGTCATTTCCATAGAGAGAGCTGACTTTGCATTATCAGCACATGCTTCAGTGCTCTGGGAGAGTTTATAGTCCTGTGAGTTTAACACTTCATGACTGAGAGCTGCTGCCCACAAACTTCACCCACAGCAGACATGACTTTGACCACCATCTTCATCTGGACTCTGATCTTCTGGACTCAAGGTAACTCACTGGTATACATTTAACTTTATGATGGTCTTTAATTGAGACATTTGAAAACAAGTACATGTGAGGGGCTTATTTTAAAAATAATGATATCATGTGTATTTAATTATATTTATAATTATTCATAATTTATGAGTCACCTAGATTTCTTATTATTTCATTTCAGAATCCAGAGGTCAGGCGACTGTGACTCAGACTCCTGCAGTGAAATCTGCTCTTCCAGGAGAAACAGTCACCATCAGCTGTAGAACCAGCACTGCAATTTATAGTAACCATTTCTCCTGGTATCTGCAGAAACCTGGAGAAGCTCCTAAACTCCTGATCTACTACACTAGCAGCTTACAGTCAGGAACTCCAGCTCGTTTTAGAGGTAGTGGATCTGGATCTGACTTCACTCTGACCATCAGTGGAGTCCAGACTGAAGATGATGGAGATTATTACTGCCTGGGTCAGTTTTACATCAGTAGTAGATACTCGTTCACACAGTGATACAGAGCCATACAAAAAGCTGTGAGAGTCAGAGACACAGAGGCTGCACTGCTGCAGCTGAGACCTACTGCAGGTGCTGAGGGGGAGGATGTGATACAGCACAATCACACACTCTGTGGAGGAGAGGAAACACACCACACTAACACACAACTCAACACACACATCTATAAATAAGCACAAAGCAGTAATGCACACAGCATTTCAGCTCCACTTCTATGAGAGGAGTAGTTCAGTGGAGCTGGAGCTCATTCTAGTCCTACTGTTCATGTGTCAGTGGTGTGCATGGATGTAGTGAAGTCTTTACATATGTTCACATAATTTACATGCCTTTATGAATTTGAAATGCTGTTTTTCACCTTGTTTGATTTATTAACTTATATTTAGAGTTTAGAGTTCATTTTTGTGGGGATTTTCTTAAAGATCTACATTCACGTAGCTCGTTTTTACTGATCACGTTTCGTAGTGTTTAAATGTTCTGCCCTCTGCTCGTCCTCTCTCCATCTCCCAGTTCCATTCACAAAATATAAAAAGTGCCACAGAGATTTGAAACTAAACACATACAGAGAATTAAAATATGGTATCAGAATACATAACATAATTCAGTTCTACTAGAACAGAACATTTTCTCATGATCCTTAAAAAGAACCTGCACACGATACTCAACCCCTCCAGGACTGACAATCTAATAACCTGTCAACTACCAGTTTTAGTTCAGGGGGCTCTGCAGAGGACATTCAAGTTTCTGAGGGGGCTGGAGTCAAGCCCACCAAAGTGACATCACCGCACTAAGTGGACAATAAACCAAACTAGTTCAGAGTAGAGAATTGAAAACACATTGCAGTCTTTTAACTAACTTGGACTTTAGACTAAAATCATTTTCAGTTATGTTTATTTTTTATTATTATTCTATTTTGACACTAACAAAACAATCATAACTCTACAGAAACTTTAACAAATGTTTCAGTAGTGACAATTTTAAATAGTTGCTCTACTGCATTTATGAGAGTGTCTCACTGCAGCTCACCTGCATTTTCCCAAACCACCTCAACTGTCTCCTCTCAATGTGGAGGAGTAGTGGCTCTATTTTAAGCTTCTCCAGGATGACTGAGCTCCTCACCCTGTCAAGTAGAGTGTAGCCCACCACCCTGTGAAGAAACTCATTTCCACTGCTTTTATCTGTGATCTTATTCTTTCAGTCACTATCCAAAGTTCATGACCACAGGTGATGGAGAGGATGCAGACTGACCGGTAAACAGAGAGCTTTGTCTTATGGCTCAGCTCCCTCTTCATCACTACAGTCCGGTACAGTGACCGCATTACTGCTACCGCCTGTCCCAGCCTGCAGCCGATCTCACCATCCCTCTTCCCATCACTTGTGAACTAGACCCTGAGATACTTAAACTCCTCCACCTGGGGCAGGTCCTCCCACCTTACCTGCATTATTTCATAATTTATACTCTAAAAACTCTGGACATTGATGTAACCTAATACATTTGGGGTGCTTGTGCCTCTGGCTTTACTTTTTACATGCAGGGAGCTTTTTTCTATTCTAAAAGATTCTTATATTCTGTTTGTATTTTTGTTTCTATAAGTTATTACAGCTACAGAACAGATTCTGGGACTGATTCTGATGAGAAGAGGCAAGAAAAATGGCCAAGAAAATACAGTTACAGGCTGAGATGGACTGGTCCACATTAATGCCTTCTCCAAAAATGAGTCCCACTCTGAAACTTAATATTAAACTCAGCAGCACTAAAGGAAAAAGTGAAACCAGACCCCCGTACCAACCCCCACCCAGCTGAACACAAACAAGCAGTTTAACCAGTAACCAGGGGTGGTGCCAAAACCCCAAAAGTGGTGGAGCAAAACGTTAAAAAAAAAATAAAAAAAATAAAATAAAACAAACAAACACAAAAAGCCGGCTGTGTGGTATTTTATGCAATTATGCCACTGACTAAAATTACCTTTCATGTCTTGCTAATGACAGGTCTTTATTCAGAGGTGGGTAGTAACTAGTTACATTTACACACGTACATCAGGTTCATATACTTTTTTTTTTTTTTCAATTTTTACCCGGTTTTCTCCCCAATTTAGTCGTAGCCAATTCCACCCGCCGCTAGTTAGGACTCCCCCAATCACACACGGCGCTATCAACGCTAGGAGGGCGAGGCTAACACAGGCTTCATCCAAGACCTGTGAAACCAGCCACCGCTTCTTCTTGAGCTGCCGCTCACGCAACGTCATTTGACAGCTGAACGCGCTCGGAGGAAAGCGCCAACCGCCAGATCTGTTACGTCAGCTAACAGACGCCTGCGCTGACTAGCATCGCGCTTAGTGAGTGATGGGGGGAGAAAGGCAGCCATCGCACCCACCCAGAGAGAGCGAGGCCAATTGTGCTCTCTTGGACTCCCGGCTACGGACGGCTGTAGCATCACCAGGGATCGAACTCGCGATCTCCTGATGACAGGGCCAACACTTAGACGGTTGCGCCACTCCGGATCCTTTTTACTCAGTTACACTTTCATATTTTGTTACAAATTCCTTTTTTGTGTTTAACTTTAATGTGTTTTGATGGTGTCTCCTGCAGTGAAATCTGCTTTTCCAGGAGAAACAGTCACCATCAGCTGTAGAACCAGCCCTGCAGTATATAATGGTAACTATCTCGCCTGGTATCTGCAGAAACCTGGAGAAGCTCCTAAACTCCTGATCTACTACGCTACTAGCTTACAGTCAGGAACTCCAGCTCATTTCAGTGGCAGTGGATCTGGATCTGACTTCACTCTGACCATCAGTGGAATCCAGACTGAAGATGATGGAGATTATTACTGTCAGAGTTTACATCATATCAGCAGTGTCTGGTGGTTCACACAGTGATACAGAGCCGTACAAAAAGTTGTGAGAGTCACAGACACAGAGACTGCACTGCTGCAGCTGAGACCTACTGCAGGTGCTGAGGGGGAGGATGTGATACAGCACAATCACACACTCTGTGGAGGAGAGGAAACACACCACACTAACACACAACTCAACACACACATCTATAAATAAGCACAAAGCAATAATGCACACAGCATTTCAGCTCCACTTCTATGAGAGGAGTAGTTTAGTGGAGCTGGAGCTCATTCTAGTCCTACTGCTCATTTTAATTTACTAACTCGTTTAGTTTATTCACTTATTTTATGGGATTTCCTTAAAGATCTACATTCACGTATCTCGTTTTCACTGATCACGATTCTGGACTGTTTACATGTTTTCCTGTTCTGCCCTCTCCTCGTCTCCTCTCCACCTCCCAGTTCTATTCACAAAATATGAAAAGAGCTATAGAGACACCCTGGTTATGCTGTGGGTTTACCTTACACATTTCAAGAACCTCTTCAGTG